CCCCCCCCCCCCCCCCTCTCTCTCTCTGGAGGTTAAATTTAGTTTCTTTTTAAAATACCAATTTTTCATTTTAATTCTTTTTTTAACATTATTCCTATATTTTCATTATCGGGCCTTAAAAGTTTATTACTTAACTTAAAGCCCAATAGTCCCAAACATTCTTTGGGCTTGGGTTTCGACTAGGCTGGCCCAAGCCCATCAGACATTTATTGGGTTTCGACTAGGCTGGCCCAAGCCCAATAGATTTGTACATTGTTTGGGCTTTTATTAGCCTGGCCCACCCGCTAATAATCAGGTTTATGACTCGACCCATGGGCTGGCTTGGCCTTTTGAATATATATTTTCTAAAAGAGAATGTCGGTCCTCCCTAGATTCTCACCTCTGGCTGGAGTTTCTTGTCCCTTTTTTTCTTTATTTCATTTCCCTCCCTGTAATCTCTGTTTCCGATGCCGATTCCGGCTATTGTTTCTCTCTCTCTATACCTGCTCTCGTTCTGATCTTGGTCATATTCCATCTTCGCCACGCGGATTAACGTAACATTGGTACGTACGTATGTTCCCCCAATTTTCAGATCTTATTTGTTTTAAACTGAGTGAATTCTTTTAGCTGTTCTATTTTGTCTGCCGCCGCGTTCTTCTTTGTGGTTGTTTGTCCATTTTCGTGATTTTTCTGCTGAATACGGATATAATATGGATGAGAAAGTAGAAAGGAATCAGAATTCGTAGTTCTACTTGTGAAATTTGTAGAAGCCCTAGTGAGGAGAAATCTATGTTTATTGAAGAGATAATTACATTACAATGGTTTGAAAATGTCACCACTAATTCAAAGGCCTTAAATTGATGGGCTAGGAGAAATTTAATCCTGTATCTAAATTTTAAACCCCTGTGTTCGTTTTTTGCACCCTCCATGTGGATTTCGTGGGAGAAAACGTCTTGATTTCTGTGATTTCTCTGCTTCAGGCTAGATTACTAGATTACGTACTTTTGAACCATGCGACCATGGTCGGAATTGCTTGTTGACAGAATGTATGATTAGGTTACGTTTTAGTTCTAACATTGGTCTTCCACCGTTTATCTTGCGGCTTCAACATGGAAAACGAATGATGGAATTCTTTCTTGAATTCTTCTCCGTTCTCTCTCCCTTTGGCTTCTGCGAAATTTACACTTAATGGATTTGATAAGATAAAACATTCCAGTCTTTCAATTCTTAAGATGCTTTTTTTTGATAAAAATGTGAAAAATTGGGGGTTCGTTTTTGTAATATTTAGAGCATATGTTCTTACCGTTTGCCTAGAAGGCTGGCTTCTAAGAATACTGAAGGGAGGATATTGTGAGCAAAAGTCTTCTGAAGTCTGATTTCTGGGAGACCAGCTGCTGCAAGCTAAGGCTCTAACTGAAAAGTGACGGTATTTCTATCTGGTACTTTCTTCTCCCCTTTCTCTCTTTTTCCTTTTTTTTTTTTTTTTTTTTTAATTCAACCAAGCATTTAAAGATGAGAACATCTTAACTAAGAACGTAGACTTTAATATACAATATACATTGCATCACTCATCTATATACCTGATCGAGATACGAGTGCTTACATTTATCAGTTTCACTTTACTCGGCCTTCCCAATATCCAAGTAGAGTAAATCTGTGAATACAATTCGAGCATAGTTCAATAGATAAAACAACCGGAATCGACCTATCAGTTCAAAAAAACATTAAAATCCTATGCAATTGAGTTGAAAGGATAATCAGATACCCACCACAAACAAGCTATTGATTAGAATAAGGGAATGCATTGAAGAACCATACTGACAGCCCTCACTCAAAAGGCTGAACACTTTGAATGCAATCTGCTCCAGAAGAAAACATCATGATATTGTNTTCTTTCAGTGTTTATTATCAAATACTTTTTTGGCTTGAGTTGGATGGTTGTTGAGAATGAAGAAACTGATGATTTCTTTAATGTTGTTAACTTGCATTTTAGTCTATGAAAAGGGTTAATCAATAATTTGATATATAGTGAAATGACCAGTTACATTGTCAACGACTCAACACAAGTGGAAGCCTACTGATTTAGGCACTCTTGGTGTGCGTACTGGATGTGCCTCACTATGTTTTATGCCTTTTCAACATTTTAGAGAATGAACAGCATTCTCGACGTGCTTCTAGAGAATAAAGACTTTCTGGTTTTATCATAATGTCATGTTCAGGAGGGAAATTAGTTCAGAATTGGAGCGCTTGAAAATGTGATTGGATTGTCAAATTTACTAGAATTGTATTTGAACTCCTAAACTAGTATTCACATGGATGAGGGCTTCACCCAAAGTTACTAGTATTGCCGAGGGCGGGGATGCTCAAGTGACAAGGCCTTGAGATGTTGGGAACTTTGGAGATACTTCCAAGGGTCTGGGAATTCAAGCCTTAGGTTAAAAATTTAAGTTTTATTTCTAATAATTCTAACTTTAAAAAAAAAAAAACTAGTTTTTTTAGTTCAACAATTGTGGGAATGAAAGATTGAACCTTTAACCTTTTTATGGTAATTTGTGTCTTATCTATTGAGTTATGATTGGATTCACAAACAAAAACAAGTTCTTAATCTTTTTTTTTTTTTAGTTTTCAAAATTTCGCTTAGATTTTGATGACACTCCTAGAAAGTAGATAACAAAACAAAAATCAAATAGTTATGAAACAAAGTCTAAGCGTTCTGATTGAGATTTAGTAGTAAATGCAAAGATCTATTAGATACTAAATTGAAAGTTCAATGACTTGCTAGAAATTTTGTAAAGTTCAAAGACTTACCAGACATAACTTTGATTCTTCTAGAATCAAATTGGTAATTTTACCAAAATTTAACAATTTAGTCCCATTTGATAACAATTTTGCTTTTGAAAATCATGTTTGTTTTCTCACCTGTCTTAGCAATGGTTTTCATATACTCCTAAATAAACACTTGAGTTCATGATCCAAAAACAAAAACAAGTTTCTAAAATCTGCTAATTCTTAATTTTCAAAACTTGGCTTGCATTTTGGAAAAAACAAAAAAGTAATCTTAATTTTAAAAAACCATATGGTTAACAAACAAGCTTAAAACTCTTGATTTCTCTATCTGGCTTTGGGATAGGCATCTGGGAAAGTTAGAAGGTTATGGGTCATTAGCATAAGTGGAACATCAATATAGTGAGTGCAACTCTATATTGATGTTTAGTCATTTTTTGGGGCAGATTTGTGTTTTAGTTTGTTGAGTATTGCACACAGATTTTGTACTCAAGAATAATTGTAAATTGTTGCAGAACATTTATTGATTTACAATTTATTAAACTCGGAGACACATCTCCTGAATGCCAAGAGTAGTACACCATGTAGTACTTGAGCATTACTAGGTACCCATTTTTTTTATCACGTCCAAAGCTGCATCCCTAAGATTGTAACTGTTCAAACTGCAGAAAACTCTAAACCCAAAGCCCTAAACATGGCAGTAAAACCCACTGTTGCCTTGCGAGCTGTACTTGTTGGAGGAATTGCAGCGTTTGCTAAAATCGCTGGTGCAATGAAAGCTGCAGGTGGCGTAAAGTTAGGTGCAGCCACGGCTGCCATGACAGCAGCAGCAACTGCAGCTTTGGCAGGATCAAAACAAGACCAGAAGGATGATTCCAAACACCCTCCAAAATGATGCCCCTCCTGTTCTGCACCTCACACAAACAAATCCCAATAATGTTTTGGGACTTTTTTCCCCCCTCTTTGTAATTTTGGTAGGGAGACATAATGTATAAACCCCAACCTTTAGGCTTCAGCCATAGCCATGGTGCTAAAATAATAAGAGCTGGCCAGATCTCTTTAGTTCACAGGATGGATTTTACATCTCGATGTCATACCGTTCCATCATTATTATACTTGGAACATTTTTTTTATCATCGTTTCTGCATTTCATGGATAGTTTCAATAATGTCGTCTGTAAAGAGACTCTGTGGTCCATAGGAAGGACGTATACAAGGTTGAGACATGTGATTCATTTCCCTTTATCAGAAGGGAAACTGCTGTTTTGTGTTTGTAGCTGTTGTTTGGTTGCTGAGAAAAAAGGTGTGGGAAAAGGAAAAGTATGTAGAAAAATGATGAGAATGAATGGATTTTTTGGTTTGAAACTTTGAATTTGGTTCTTTCCCAGATGGGATATTTGAAGAATCAATGAAAAAAGGTAAAATGATTAACATAAAAGGCAAAGGAGGGAAAGAATGATCGAAGTCAACTGGTTTTTGGAGGATTATGTTTGTTGGAAACAAAACAAACCCAATGCCAGCAGCTTTTATATGCATGTGTGTATATATATATATATATATATATTGCCAGCAGCTTTTATATGCATGTGTGTGTGTATATATATATATATATATGAGTAAGCCAGGGAGACATGAAAGAGAGAGGAATAGCAGGCAGGGCCATGAAGACCAGTAAAGACAAGACATTTGGGTTTGGGAAGTGTGCAAGTGTTGGGCCATCTAGGCCCAGCCCAGCCCATTATCCCACCATCTGTCTCTGTGATTCATCATCATTTTTGCTATCTATGTGTGAGAAATTACATTTTTGGGCATGAGAGAGAAAGGGCATTGTTTCCAAGGTCAGAGCCTCAGAGGGGATAGGGACAGACATGTGAATGCTAATCTCTAAGAGAGAGTGCGGCATGTGAATGGCATAGTAAAAACATGATATTTTCGTAAATGGAAAATTCTAATAATTTGGAGGGAAAATATCATTTTTTCCCGTCAAAAAGGTTGTAAATATAAAATATTGGGTGACAGAGAGTGTGAAATCTCACATCGGATAGAAAGGAAAATGAAACATTCATTGTAAGGGTGTAAAAACCTTTTCCTAATAGATGCATTTTAAAAACTGTGAGATTGACGACGATATGTAACGAGTCAAAGCATGCAATACTTGCTAGCAGTGAGCTTGAGTTATTACAAATGATATCAAAGCTAGACATTGGATGGTGTACTAATGAGGGCGCTGGATCTCCGACGAGGGTGGATTGTGAGCTATTACAAATGATATCAGAGCCAGACACTGGAGTATGTACCAACGAGGACACTAGGTCCCCAAAGAAGGTGGATAGTGAGATATTACAAATGGTATCAGAGCTAGATATCCACCAGTGTGCTAGAGAGAACACTCGGTCCCCAAAGAAGGCGGATTATGAGATTTCACGCTATTTCTTTTTTTATTATTATTTATTTATTTATAAAAGTGTGAATAAATTTTACATTATTTCTTTGCTAATAAGAATTGTTTATAATTATAAGGTGAAAAATGAGTTAGTATTAGGCTTTATGTCTCAAATCTCTATTTACTTTATTCTTAAGCAATCCTTATTAGGTTATTTTCTTCATTACAAAACAATCTTTCTTTCTTTCCCTTTCTTTTTAATATATCAATGAAATATTACGAATATTTTTGGTCGAAAATGCTAACCGAACACCAACCATGATGGAATATTAAATGGACTCATGTTAGATAATAGGATAGAGTAAAAAGTCGACAAGAATTTAATGGACAAAACATAAGTTAAATAAAAGTAATATAAATTCAACTCAACAATCGATATTCTCAAAGTACTATCGACACTAATTATCTTCTAAGAAACTTCAACATTTTCAACCACTACTCAAAGAGGAATAACACGAGTCGTTTTTCATGAAGGTAGAGATGTTCTCAATGAGAATACCGCTTTACCGAGTTTACAAAACGAATGAGCGATAACGTTTATTCCCCAACTTCTGAAACGGTTTGTTAATATAATCTTGAATGACGAAGGTTTGTTTCTCGAGTTTGGAAGATCAATTTATATGATTATACATGAGTCATAATATTTACACAGTTTCATAATATAAAGTTTATATATTATGGCTTAACCCTAATTAAGATATGAAATATTCTTTTTCATATAAAATAAAGGTGACAATAATTAAGCTTACAAATGATGAACATTCCATAAAGTAATTTACGTGAAAAAAAAAAAAAAAAAAAAACAAACAGCTGAGAAAATAAAAATGTTGTTCATCTCTTGTAATAAGAATCTATCCCTGCCATGGCTTCTGGATTTGACTTTGAAGATTGGAGGAATTAGGAACAATGCAGTTCCCAAAACCAGTAAGGCTTAGAATATCTCCATGGGAAAGAGGGCGAAGCCCCAAAAAATCCCTCGTTAAACCGTCGCTTCGACCGCCCGAAGCGGCGGTGACGGTGGTGGTGGCAGTAGCGGGAACGATGTGGTGATGCATGGCGGGGAACGCGGTGACGTCGTTAAAGGAGGAATCTTGTAGGAAGGGATGAGAAGCTGAAGCAGAAGAGAGGGAATTTATCATGTCATGAAGAAAAGTGGCGGGTTCCGAAGCTGAAACCGCCGCAGCTTTGTGCCCGTAATCGGTACAACTACTACTACAACTCACCGCTCCTCCTCCAATATGCCCATAATCACCTGTCATACCACAACTCATCAACTTAAGTTTTCGAATTTATTATAAATAATTAAAAATATAAAAAAAAAAAATTAAATAACTCGAGAAGCGTTCAAGAATATGAATAAAACTACTAAATTTATCAAAACTTTTACTAATTTTCAAGCCGGAGTAAAGGGGTTTCAGGGAACCAACCAATTCATATGGTGAACCCAATCCAAATAATTTCATAACCAACTTAAAACCGTAGTAAGTTTAAGGTAATCAAATTTTTCGAATCATTGTTTTTTTTAAGAATACCCGTAGCCTCGAGTAGGTAGACATACGAACGAGTAAAAGAAAAAACACGAACAAAAGATTAACTCGGAGAATTATAGATCAATAAAGAATATAAAAAAGCAAAAGAAAATAGAAATATGCACCTGTAGACACGTGAACCATCTTGTGGGGCCTTTGCATAGAGCCACTCGTGGTAGTGGTACTACTCATGGTGGCACCCATTTGAGCTGCCTTCTGAAGCAATGCAGTGGCTGAAATATGAGGAGAAGAAACCGAAGAACACTGATATGAAGAAGGAGGAGGAAGTCCAATACTCGCCCCGCACCCGTGGCCGTGCCCGTGGCCGTGCCCGTTCGGGTTTAGGGTTTCATGATTTTGATGCGGATGCTCGTCTTGACAACTCCCAATAAAGATTTCCCCTCGAAGATCATTCGAATGTAGCCACGGTGGAATCTCCGCCCTCATATTGTTACTATTACTAAAGTCCCGTTTGATAACAAAATTATTATTATTATTATTATTATAAGAAGACATAATCGGGTTTAATGCCATAGCTGATCTCGCACTTTCATCCGCCAATGCATCGCAAAAAGCTCTATGTGTTATAAAACTGTCTCTCCTGCATGAGAGAGAAACATATTTTTTTTCAAAAAAACACAAAAAATAAGACAAATTTAGAAGACCTTTTTTTTTTCTTGTCAGAAATAATTATTTTTTCAATTTTTTTTTTTAATGAATTTTGTTAATTGAAGGTAATAATTAGACAATTATAGCATAATAATAGTGTAATTAATGAATTAAAAACATAATTAAGGAATAATTACCTTGAAAACAGTGTTCCACAGTCACATCTGTACTCCTTGGTGCCACAGATTTTGGAGTGAGCTTTCCAATCAGATTGAACAGCATATTTCTTAGAACACTTATCGCATTTCCACTTCTTTTCGCCATGCTTTCTGTAGAAGTGCTTTTTGATACCTGTGAGGTCTCCAAGAGCTCTTGATGGGTCATGGTGGACGCAGCTGCTCTCTGGGCACACATACACCTTCTTCTTTACCACTTCTTTGTTTGATCTTTGCTTCAGCTTCCATGGTAGATTGTGCCCTCTTCTATGTAGCTGAAGATTCTGATCTCTTTGAAACCCTTTGTTGCAGATCTCGCACACGAATCGATTCGTCGCCATTAGCGTTCTCGGCGATAACGCTATCACTTCTGCATCTGGGTCTGTATCCAAATCAATCAAAACCTTTAATTATGGATAATCCAGATGAATAAAAAGTAACCCAGATTCCAGATGAATGAGAATAACTCGTATGAAAAAAAAGATTAGATTTTTAGTAGCTCGATGAATAAAAATGTTAAATTTACTGTAACCCAGAACCCTAATGAATGAAAATAACTCGACCCGTATGATAAAAATGTTAGATTTGTTGTAAGCTCAAAACCGAGATGAATAAAAACGTTGAATTTACTGTAATTCGAACCGGTATGAATCAAAAGATTAGATTTATTGCAACCCAAAAGTCCGATGAATAAAAACGTTAAATTTTCTGTAACTCGAACCCGATATGAATGAAAAGATTAGATTTGTTGTAACCCAGAAGTCGGGAAGAGTAAAAACGCTAAATTTATTGTAACTCGAACCAAATACGAAGGAAAAGATTAGATTTGTTGTAACCCAAAACCCGAAATGAATAAAAAAGTTCACTTTTTTTTTTTGTAATTCATCGACTTAATTAACCTCGATGAAGGAGGACGATACTCCAACATGGTATCAGAGCTAAGAGAAATCATACCGGGGTTTCCGGGGAGGTTGCGTTTCTTCTTCGGAGGAGGCGGAGGCGGTGGCGGCTGTGGGTGTTGGGATTGAGGAGCTAAATAGTGATTAGCAGAAGAAACACTAGCAGTAGCTTCACCAGATGCAGAAGTCAAATTGGACAAATTTTCATCCATTAAAACTTGGTGTTGATGTTGTTGTTGTTGTTGAGACAAAAAATTCCCTTTCATCATCATCTGAATCCCTTCTTCTTCTTCCTCTTCCTCTTCTTCTTCTTCTTCTTCTTCTTCTTCTATCAGTGGTTTGAAATTATTCCAAGATTCTTCCACATGAGACAGCAAAAAACAGATCTAACCCGACAAACAACAAGAACACGAACAAGAACAAACAAAAATTGAAGAAAAAAAGCTTGGTGGGTATGGTTTTTTTGAAGGTTATAAGGATATATAAGCTGTTTATTACTGCATCCAGGGCTTGGATTTGGCTACAACCAAAGAGACAACTTTTAGTTTTTTTTTGAAAGCTCAAAAGAAACAAGCTG